AAACACCAGCAGTCAATTTAAAAAATCCATGCAAACGCCAGTCATCGAAACAGCTGTAGAAAGACCGGACCATATCGTGCTGTGGCGATTTGCGTGCATCTATGAATCAATGAGCTACAGCGAGGTTTTCACTTTAACGCCGGCAAAGTTTCTGTTGCCAGGGTGTTCAGCTGTTAGAGGTGTGGACAAGAGAATCCTGGTCCTCCAAGATGTGGGTTGGTACAGGCTTGGCGGCTTGTTCTTTAGAGCCTGTACTGCCGTGGTAATGAAAAAAGAAGGGCTTCGCTGCGGAGTTGTTCGTTAGAAAATGCCAACTGAACAGACAAGCAAAATTCTCATATGCATCTTGTTTACAAAAACTGAACATCCATCTTCTACTTGAACGCGTTTTCCTGAAAGTTCCTGGATATTCGTTGACTGTTGCGCAAATGCATGCATATGATTCAAAGCGACTCCACGAATTCCGTGATAGATCTAACTTTTCAAGAGACGCGGAGCGGATTTACGAGAAAACACACTACTCGCATGCCCTCCCATCAGTAGTGTCACCGTTACATTAGTATTCCGATGTGCAGCAACTGCCTTGTTGTCAGGCTTCCCAGCCACAGGCACAACTAAAAATGTTATTAGGCCACTTCAGTCGTCGCGTGCTGTCGTCAACCAGGTGGCCTTAGCTGCCTCATAAAGCAGGGAGCTAAGCGAAGCCGGTGCTTTCTTCCTTGCACCTTAGGTATTTCCTCTTCCACCAGACCCCAGCTCAGTGTGAATACTCTCCTTGGAGGTCCAACAACTAGGGTTGACCACTTTGTACACCATGAATCACGACAGGACCCGGATTCTAAGCATCCGACTTTACAGGCAACTCCACATACTTCGAAGACTAAATTCAAGCCCTGAAAGCCCGTTCGTTCACTGAAACAAACAGGAAAAAAAGTGGCTGTTGCTCATACGCTGGATCCTCTTTGCATCAATATTCGCTGTCTCTCAGATACAATGATTCAGTAAAGAAGTACTGCGGTTGGACTAACTGCCCACTTGCTCTCTTCCAAGTTTCGACGGCCCACTTCTGGTGATGCAGGGCTGCAGTCAGATATGCTGGTGTTTGTATCATGTTGAGCAATTGAGCGGAGATGTCATTAGTTGGAGAGTTTTCAGCAACCTAGTGAGTAGTTTACGAAAATATACTGCGATATCTCGAATATCGTGCCAACTGAATCATGAGGCGGCCTGTATGTAGCACATTTAGTTGTAGAATATCATAAACGAGAGATCCAACTGAGTCTCTAGTGCAAACCAAATTGATTTGCAGATGTGAGTGCATTTCTCGAAAACAGTCCAATTTGGGTTC